AAACAGGCATTACTCCCCTGCTGAAATCCACCAATGACACCCATCATACTCATGATACCTGTCACATTTAATGCCCTGCCTGACCTGGTTCCTGCCCAACCCCGCCCCTTACACTTACTGGTCCTTCCTACCTTCCCAGCACCCCTAACTCATCACTCCAAGCCTCACTGAGCTACTTCACACTTTGGATATCTGACATTATTTATTTATTCACGTTTTGGGCTCTCCACTAGCATGTGAGGTCCTCGCCAGCAGTGCCCTTCTCTGTCCTAGCCTGTGTTTACTCCAGGCACCTAGAAAAACATTAATCACAGGGCTGGCATACCATAAATCTATTCTGTGGTTAGTTGAATTTATTTCCCTAAATCTTGGGCATGTGCTGCCTTGAGAAATGGGTGAATTAATTTTAGAATAGGCAAAACTACAGTGGTAATTATCACACAGACCCAATAGTGTACCCGTTCCACAAACCCACTGGCAAACATTTCTACCTTCCTAATAAAGCAGACAGCTGTTTTTCCCTGTGTGCCCTGCCGGACAGCTGCTGCAAGCCCAGCCTCCGATGGGTCCGTCGTCAGTCTGCCCTATGCATGCATGGAACTCATCAGACACACTCTGGGCGGAAGCCAGGGGAGCGCTGCCCTTGGCATTTTTATTTTAATCCATTTTGGTGTCAGCTGTCCCTCACCAAGTCACCGAATTTAATTAGAGGTTGAGTGAAAACCCCGAAACTATGGCTTCTTGGTGATTCCTAAGAAGCCACGGTAGTCCAACACCGTAATCAAAGTGAACCCACATATATCCAGGGAGTAGGCACGCGGTAAGGGAATTATTCTTACAGACACACATCCCACACGTGTCAAAGATAAATCTGGGTCCAAGACAGTATTAACAAAGCTGGTTTACACATAAACTTGCGGAGAGGTCCCTTCTGCCCCCACCCTTGTTTCGGCGGGGGCTCAACGGTGTCAGGGAGTACGTTTTACTAAGAAGGAAATACTGTCTCCTTGAAAACTGATCTGCCAGGGTAGGATTAGTGGGGTGAAGGGGCACTCGCTGGTCTTCCAGTCCATTTGGCCGTCCTCGGTTGGCAGCAAGGCGGGCCCGCGAGCAGTTGGGGGACATTTCAAAAGAGGAAAGGGCGGAGGGTTTTCTGTGGCCAGCAACTTCCTAGAACAAGTGGGGGTCGACAGAATGGTTTTTTGTAATCAAGCTGTCATACTGGTTATTGGGAGGGTGGGGGGGTGGCTGCCTTCCTGCAGAAAGTTCCTCACACGATCAGCAAATTTAAAATCATTACAAATCGTAGAGTTGAAAGTGATCTTAAAATGCATCTGCTCGTTTTGACCCATCACCCCGTGGTCTTCACCCCAAGTGCATTCAGTGAATGGAAAACCTCAGAAACAGGGTGATCCGGTGTCTAAGCCTTAGCAATCGGCAGAAGCAGAACTAGAAAGTCTTCCTGAATCCTAGCACCGTGGACAGAACTGCCACGCTTCTCAAAAATAAAACCAGAAGGAAAACAATGAGAATACGGCCAGTAGCAGCCTAAACAAGCTCTGGCTGGGCCCAAAGGATACCCCCTGCTTCCTTACTAACAGAGTCCTGACCTCAGGGGCTCTGGGCTTGGGCAGGGGGGAAGGGTTGGAGGGGCTGAGCCCTTCCCAAGTAAAGGGATGAGAGTCCTCAACTGGTCCAAATCAGCCAATTCTCCAGATTTCATTCTCACCAGTGAACATGAGGGAAAAGTGGGTGGCTGGGAGGGCATCTGGAAAAGAAAGTTTGAGGTTTTTTTTTAGGAGCTGATGGAAGTGATATTTTCTGCCGTGGGACACGGGTGGGGTTTGTTTTCCATGTGTGGGAAAAAGGCTTATACAACTTGGCAACGGGAACTGAGAATCAAAATCTCTTTTGACCCTCTGATCTCCCTTCTAGTATGTTATCCTATAGAATCAAGGTTATTTAGGAAAGAAAAAAAAAATGAACACGTTCAAAGACATACTGGCTTTTTGTTTTAAGAACAGCAAAAAATTGGAACTACCCCAAGTATCCAAGAACAGGGTGTCAGGAAACACTGTGGCGAGACTTTGAAACAGGTCCCCCCTAACCCGTCTGCACTTAACGGGGTGTTCAACGTAGTCCACACACTCTTTAAGCAACTTTATAATGATGTAAATTGAGGGAAACAGATAATGTAGATGACTCTTGTCCACACAGATACAAATTGTACACTCTAAAGTCCTAAATGTAACCGATTATTACTGTGTGGATATTGGCTGATTTTGCCAGTTTTGTGTCTACTAAGCAAATTCATTTCAGCATTCCTACTGGGCTTATTATATTTTTATTTCCTCTTTGGATTCTCCTTTGAACCAATTAAAACATCTTACTGGTTCTCTCACTAACGAACAAGTTAAATAAAATCTTTAACATGTTTGTTTTGTACTTGAGTCATGATTTGACTTTCTAAAAAATAAATATCCTTTAGCAAGGTAGTTAAATTTAGTACATTCGTTTGATCTTACTTACAGCCCTCTTCAAAATAGTTATAAAGACCGTATGGCAACATGGACAAATCCTCTTAATAAAACAGTACGTGGAGGGAAAAAAAAACCAGAATGCAAAATTTGTACTAGGCTGTGATTAGAACTAAAAATTCTAAGTGCCCAGGGAAATACTAAAAGGGAAGGAGAAAAAAACTAAAGTGTGATTTGTTAGGGTGGTAGGACCTCAGAGATTTGTGCTTTGAATCCTGACTTTTTATTATTCTGTTCTGTTATACATTAAAACTAAGAGAAGGGCACCTGGCTGGCTCAGTTGGTAGCACATGTGACTCTTGACCTTGGGGCTGTGAGTTCAAGTTCCATGATGGATGTAAAGATTACTTAAAAATAAAAATCTTTAAGGGGTGCCTGGGTGGCTCAGTCGGTTAAGCATCCAATTTCGGCTCAGGTCATGATCTTGTGGTCTGTGAGTTGGAGCCCCGCATCGGGCTCTGTGCTGACAGCTTGGAGCCTGGAGCCTGCTTTGATTCTGTGTCTCCCTCTCTTTCTGCCCCTCCCCCATGCACATTCTGTCTCTCCCTCTGTCTCTCTCTCAAAAATAAGTAAACATTTAAAAAATTTTTTTTAATTAAAAATGTTTTAAAAAAAGTTAAAAATAAAATTAAACTAAGAAAGAAAGGGCCCATTTGAATTTCGTATTGTTGCTGTAACAGATTACCACAAAGTTGGTGACTTAAAACGACACACATTTGGGGGTGCCTGGGTGGCTCAGTCGGTTAAGCATTTGACTTCAGCTCAGGTCATGATCTTGCATTCATGGGTTCAAGCCCTACGTCAGGCTCTGTGCTGACAGCTCAGAGCCTGAAGCCTGCTTCCGATTCTGTGTCTCCCTCTCTCTGTCCCCTTCCCCGCTCATGCTCTGTCTCTCTCTGTCTCTCAAAGATGAATAAATGTTAAAAAAAAAAGAAAATACGACACACATTTATCATCTTAATAGTTCTGGAGGTCATAAGTCCCAAATGGGTCTCATCGGGCTAACACCAACGTGCTATTAGCCAGGCTGGTTCCTTCCAGAGACCCCAGGGGAGAAAGGTCTCCTTGTGTTTTCCAGCTTCTAGAGACCACCACAGTCCTTGGCTTCTAGTCCCTTCTTCCATCCTCAAAGCCAGCAGGCAAGGCATCTTCAGATGTCTTTCCCCTGACTCCTCAAGACTCTGATTCTACTGACCCACCTACGTAATCCATGATAACCTCCCACCTCGGGTCCGGAGCATAAGCACATCTGCAAAGTCCCTTTCAGCTTGTAACCCTGGTGACAAGCCCCGCCTAACTAAGTTCCAGGAGAAGGGATGGCTTCCCTGTCATTTCCAAGCGAGCGTACCACACGGAGTGCTGAGCACAAGAGCACACAGTGCAGGATCTCATTTCAACTGAATTCCCAACGGGCACTACTGTACTAGGAAAACAAAATGACAGTTGCCTCTTGAGGTAGGGCGGAGACTGAGAAAGGGCAAAAAGGAATTTCCTGAGATGACGGCCCTATTCTGCATCTTGATGGTGTTTCAAGGGACAAAAGTATAAACAAACGTTAAATTCTAATATGTATTTAGGGGGAACTGTAGCGATGTCTGGCATTTATTCTGAAAGGTGATACGAAAGGACAGACTGGGAGAGGGACGGGGGGGATGCGTGAGGAGTAGGTACAGTAAAGCGTTCATGGTAGAATCTTGGCGGGGGGGGTATACAAAGGTTCACTATAAAAATCTCTCACTGTCGTTCGCTGATTTTTATAAGGGACTTTTGGAAAAAACGAGCCGTGACCCCAAAATATTGCTCCAGTGACTTCAAACAAAGAGACAGATTTGGAAAATCGTCAGGCAACTCCTTGAACAAGCTCTCTCCAGAAAAATCTCTCAACCAGGGCACCTGCGGAAGGTGTTTATAAAAGTGTGGGGGTATTACCGATGGTCTCCGTCACAAGGGAGGAGGGGGGTATTGCTCATACACACAGGGTAGGGGCCGGGGAAGCTAGCAGCCAGCCTCCCACCATGACAAAGAACCTCCACCCCAATGTCACCAAGGAACACCAATTCAAAGCCCCGGTCTTCCCTTCGTCACCCTCCATCACTTTGCTGCAGCACATCCTCAACTGGGTGGTGGCTCATCTCCTGACAGCTGGTCGCCGCCTCCCACTTCTTGGTAACTCCAGAGAACCCGGCTGAGCGCTCTACTCAGAACACATATTGGGTAAGACATTTGAGGGTGTGCAGCAGGGGGAGGAGGGCGCTCCCTGATAGTTCTCTCCACCAGTGGAGTTACAAACGTACCACTGCCCCCCGACCCCCAGAGGGGCCAACAGGGAAGGACATCCCTGCGGCAGTCCTTCTGCCAAAACACAACCTCCAACACGACATCCCCGCTGTCACAGCCCCTACCCCACCCCCTGGACCAAACGGCCCGAGGAGGCACCTGAAAGTAACCGCCATCACACAGCGCTGAGAAAAGCCAGCATAAAGCACTTTTATTGCAATAATAAAACTTGAAACTTATACATAGTGCAGGGAGGTGGGGGTGGGGGATAGGCAGCAATAATTTCTCTCACCAAATCACTACACAGGACAGCAAAGGGGTGAGAGGGGGGAGGAAAAGGCAGGAAACTCTGAGATCAGCAGGGGGAGCTGAACATCAATGCTGCACATCAAAAACCAGGAGATGCTGAAGCTGTGATGACCAGCATCATTTTTCTCAAGACAACACTCAAGGGTTTGTCATGATGGCTGGGCTTTCATCGGGTGTTAAGTGTCTACAAACAGCACCTTCAATTTAAACTTTCGATTAAAGTTTCTTAAAATTTAGGAAGTGGAGCTTGGATAGCTATGAGATTACAAAAGTCCTGAATATCCGTTAGAAAAACCACAGGATGGAGGGGCAGGGGGGGCGGGGGGGGGGGAAGCCAGGCCACGAAGAAGGCTTCAGAGGTCCCTGCTGGCCTGGGGACAGATACCTGTAGTGTCCAACATCGCAGTGAGAACCATCTGCTTCCAAAAGGCAGAGGGTTTAAGGGGAGGGTGGGGCAGGGCAGTGGAGGCAAAGGCTCTCCTCCCCCTCCCCATTTCAGTTTTGGGTAGGGCTTTTAATTCAACCCAAGGACATCTCTCAACTTGGAGATAATTCGGCCCTCGACAGCGCCTCAAATCTGCTATGGCTTTGCAGCGCAGCAGCAAGAATGTTTAATATATAATAGATAAAAATTTCATCCAAAAAAAAAAAAATAAAAATAAAATAAAGATTCTTGCAACCCCCCTCCCACCCCCACCAATTCCTATTCTAAAATTAACCCATTACTTGTGCTGTTAATACTTGACTAATACTTAAGTGGAAACCTAGATCCAAAAGACTGAAACTGAACCTTCACCCCAAAACGAAAACGAAATAAAATGAGTAACTTGAGGTTTATGGCATATAGTTTAGGTCAACACACATACGAGGAAAAAGGGAAAGAGCGAAGCTGGGTGACAACACATTCAGTCGGGGTCGATGTTTATACAAAGAGTGTAGTGGAACATCAGGAGAAGCTCCATACGGATTCGCGTGTGCGCATCTGGAGGCGCCACATCCCTCCACGGCACATCTGTTGGGGACAGAAAACCTGTCAGTTCCAGCAGCACAGTGCCCTGCGTGCGTGGCGGGGGCGGACTCGAGGCTGTCTGCCATGGCAGGTCCCTTCCCCCAAGAGTTCCCAGGTCTCCCTTTGAACGAGCCACTTCCGCTCTGGCCGGGCTTGGCCGGGCTTGGCCGGGCTTGGGCTGGATTCCCAGGTGAGCAGTCTCCTTCCTGCCTCAATTGGCAGTTTTTTTGTTTTGTTTTGTTTTGTTTTTAGCCTAAGCTTATGTTTACCTGCTGAGGAGAGCAGTGACTGTACAGTTCCCCAAGATCACTGGGTCTCCAAGCCGGACGCATACAAGAATCACCTGGGGGGCTTTAAAAAACTGCAATGCTTGTAGTTGCACTGCCAGTAATTGTGGCTAAGTGGCCGAAGGTGTGGCCTGGGCATCAGGAGGCTTCCCAGGTGACTTCCGTGTGTACAACCCCACGTTGGTATATCCTTCATGTTGAAGGGATTTAAACAATGTCTGCAGTCTTTATTCATCTACTCCAACCTACAACTTTCCAGATCTGCCCTTGGGCTTTCCATCAAGAGCTCCGCAAGAGGGTCTGAGATGTTCTTTGGCCGGGTGTGGGGAGGTGTAGGCCAGGGTGACTCGCAGCCCTCTCTCCCTTCCTTCCCCTCCCTCCATCCGACCAGATTTATAGAACGCTGGTACCCAAATCAAGATAATCCCAAGGCACTCCTCAAATACTTTTACGTCCAAAGGGCTTAACTCTCAGAGAACAGGAAAGAGGGTTTAGATTAGGTACAGACCTTTGGGCAGAGGCTCTGTAAGGAGTTCCTTCCTAGTAAGAATGACAAGTACAGAAGCCAAGGTCAGCAAACTGGCCCAGGTCTGTATGACCCAGGTCTGTAGGGCTCAAAGCACAGGGAGAGGAAAAGAACTAAGAATTTCAAAAGCCCTTGTGCTTAACGGAGTCCACAGCAGGACAAGGTTAGACCGTAACAGACAGGCTGGCAGCCACCTGTGACCACTTTCGAACGAAGGCATTCTCCCTCAGGCCCCAGTTGTGGTCCTCTGGCTCCAAGGGCCAGGAAGGGGGCAAAAGTAGAGGTCTGGGGCCAGCTGGAAAGATGACACCATTCGTGTGTTTTATGATCCTAAAACCCACATGAAAAGTTATGAGTCATTACGACATGGAGTTTGGCTTCCTAGAAATGAGGGTAAAGGAAGGAAAACAAGCCCAGGAAGGGGTTCTGGTGCTAGTCTGCCACGGTCTGGAAGTGACCTCAAGTAAGGTCTTTCTCTCCAGGCCTCGGTTTCCTCACCTGTGACGCAGGAAGGCTGATCGGTCCCTAAGGTCCTTTCCTAGGAGTGTCTGGGAGTATCCTCTACATTTCAAAAGCACGCCCTGGCCTCAGCTTCCCATGCACGGAAAATGAGCTGGCCTGTGCACTCCAGGGTCCCGGACTTGCCCCTGAGGCAGCTGGCTCGGGCGACAGTGCCTCTCTCACACCCCCTGACAGGCAGTGACCACACTCTACATGGCGAGGGGGCTGCACACACTAGGGCGGGGTGTGTAGTCCTCAACGGTCTTACTTCTACAGAACCAAAATGCTAGCGTTATAAATTTGGCCGTATTTCCGGTTCCCAGCTTGGTTTTAGTTTGCAAATTATATGCAAAAACATACTTTATTTCAACAGCTACTATCAGCGGCCCCGTCCCAGTGAGTCTGCTCGACAGCACGTGCCTTTCCTTTCCCCAGGATGACCAGCTGTGGCATCTGAGGTGTATACCAGTAACTAAAATCGAAACACTACCCAATAGAGCAAGAACGTAGGGGGAAAACCCATGGCCTTTTTGGTTCTGCCACCCAGCAAACAGCTGGTAAACGGGGGGGTGCCAAGGTGGTAGGAGGCCCTTGGGCACTCAGCTCCTCACCCAAGAACGGGGCGCAGGGGGCTCGAGGGGGGTTGTCCCTGTCATTCCAGTTTCAGAAGCTCCACGTCAAAGACGAGGGTGGCATTCGGTGGGATGATGCCTGGGTGGCCGGTGGCACCATAGGCGTAGTCTGGGGAGATGGTCAGTTTGGCTCTCTGACCCACACTCATCTGTGAAAAGAACAAAGAGAGAGACTCAGTTGGACACCCTCCCCAGCTGTCCCTGGAAGAAGCAGGGCCGTTTACCGGGGTGTGCTGGTGCAGCATAGCAGGACGAGGACAGCAACCGTGCGGAACGTGGAGGCTGACAGTCAGGCTGCGCGATCTCTGCATCTGGCTCTCAGGGGCCCAACGGCAGATAAAAACCACCTTTCTGCCCAGGGCTTACTGACCCGGCTCAGGGAGCCAGTGCCGCAGAAGTGTCACCACTTAGTCCTTTGGTGGCCTGTCACCCAAAGCATATGTGTGTGGCACCTACACTCTTAAAAAAGTATTCTGGTCAAAACTCCGCTTTAAAAGAAAACACATACACACAGAAGGTAATATATGGGGTAGTCTACTTTTTCTGTACTTTATTGATACTTCTAGTCAGACACATAGAAAACTTTTTAAAAAACATGATTTTACAAAGAAGCATGTATGGCACGTTACCAATAGTGTAAAAAGAGGGAAATATTTATATACTTGTATCTTGCCTAGATAAACAGAAAACACCTTTGGAAGGACACAAATAATACCAGGTTTTTCATGGGGAGGAGAGAGTACAGTGGCCAGGGTGGAGGGAAATTTTTCACTTTAAAAAATACATTTGGAGACACCTGGGTGGCTCAGTCGGTTGAGCGTCCGACTTCGGCTCAGGTCATGATCTCACAGTCTGTGAGTTCAAGCCCCGCATCGGGCTCTGTGTTGATGGCTCAGAGCCTGGAACCTGCTTCGGATTTTGTTTCCCCCCTCCCCCTCCCCCCCCCCCCCCCCTCTCGCTCTGTCTTTCTCAAAAATAAACATTAAAAAAAAAATACATTTGTCCTTTTCCATTTCCAAATCAAAACTTACATTACGTGAGTTTCAATATATATCTTCTGAACGGTGAGCAGGCTCTCCGCTC